GAACCCAGGGCCTCATGCATGCAAGGCAAGCGCTCTACCACTGAGCCACCTTCCCAGCCCCCCTTTGTTCCTCTTTCAAATCCACTATAGCCATCTTCTTGCATTCAATATTTTTCTTTTTTCCTCCTATTTATCATATGTCTACTCTTTGTAAAAAAGATGCTAGCTGCTACAGTGAAATGCAAAAAAAAAAAAAATTAAGATGCCAGAATAGCTTTACAAAATAGCCAGAGAAAAGTCTCAGGCCAATAAAAAGACAAATAATTCCGCAGGAATGTTGAGGAGCGCCAAGTTAAGTGCCATCCCTGGAGGTACTGTCGGAGAGGGCGTTCAGTTGGCCTCGGGGGGGGGGGAGTTGTATGTTTTTGGAGGTGACCTGGGAAAAGGAGCAGGGCTCCGCAGCCGCAGGTTCACCAGCTCGTTCAGTCACTTTGTTGCGGATTGCAGCGTGGTGCCAGGTGAGTCACTGCCTTTGGGTAAACTAGAACAAGAATCCTCAAAGGTGAAGCTTGCCAAAGGTGGCAACAAATCAAGACCCAGACACACTCGGAATATTTTCCGATTTCAAGTGAAAATATTTGAGAAAAGTGGGAAAGGTGGAGAATTCTAGAAGTAAATAGACGAAAATACTTCTCGTCCAGTTCCCATGTCCTCAGCTTGCCTCCGCTCACGTGCCAGCCAAGGGAAAAGGTTCGCTCCTGCGGCCGAGACCCTCACCGCTGCCTGGTTTCCGGTGTGGGTGCCAACGGCTCAGACCTCCAGAGGGTCTCCGCCTGCAGGGAGAACTCTGAGCTCCCACAGTGAGCGTGTAACTGCTTTCCTCGTTAGTAATCGTATTTCTCTATGGCCCTTTTTCCTCCCAGACATTAACGAGTGTGAAAGAGATGCTTGCGGTAATGGCACCTGCCGCAACACCATCGGTTCCTTCAACTGTCGCTGTAACCACGGCTTCATCCTTTCCCACAACAACGACTGCATAGGTGCGTGTGCAAAATGTGCATGGCCACAAGTCACTTTCAGCTGTGTTCTTTGTGATGGTCATTCTCAGTGTGCTGACTGCGTGGATTTTTTGGAGTAAGTGCTGTGTGATAGCTAACCATTGATCCCAGGACTTGTCAGATACCGTACGTACCCGCTGTGCTATGACTTTCATCGAAAGGCTCGTTGGCAGTTACAGCTTTGATATGTCTACCTTGATGTAAATAAGATACACTTCAGAATAAATGAAAGTAAGTTTAAACTGGGTAAAATATGCGAAAGCAACTCTTTATGTATAAATTATGTGATTTAAGAGTCACCTGGAGCTTTTTGTCTACATGCTTCACCGCAGGCTCTCTCTGTTCATTGATAGACTAATTGGATTGGTTGGTTGATGATACCTAAGTTTGAACTCAGGACCTCACACTTGTTCGGCTTGTTTGTTCACAGCTGGTACTCTGCCACTGGAGCTATTCCTCCGGCCTGGCTTTTTGCTGGCTATTTTGGAGATGGTGTCTCACTGACTTTTCTGCCAGAGCTGGCTTTGAACTTTGATTCTTCTGGACCTAAGCTTCATGAGTAGCTAGGATTGCAGCCATGAATCACTGGTGCCCTGCTACCATTTTTATTCAATAAATTATTGAATGTATAAGTTTTCCTTATACAACATGGTAGGAGACAGTAAGATATTGCATCGAGCTAGAAGCTGATTCTATATGCTTCTAACTTCAATATGGAAGGATGACATCAGCTAACTAATTTTAGCTTTTAAAAATAAAATCTAAAGGAAGGTCAAAGCAAAGCTACATCAGATCCTCCGGTGAGCAGCCAGCCTCTACTGTACAAACGCAGCATGTTGGTTCTCTCGGGGCTGATGTTTCAAGCCCGGCCTACGGCTCCACTGTCCTTAAGGGCTACTGAAATTCAGAATAAGCACTGTGAAGCTCCGCTGTTTTCTTTGGATTATAGCAGAGGTTTTTCCACAGATGTTGACGAATGTGCGACTGGAAACGGGAACCTTTGCAGGAATGGCCAGTGCATCAACACCGTGGGCTCGTTCCAGTGCCAGTGCAATGAGGGCTACGACGTGGCTCCGGACGGGAGGACCTGTGTGGGTGAGCGCGGGGCTCACGGAGACGGCGCGCAGACCCCGCCGCGGTCTCCACCCCAGCCCCTCCCTCTGGACACTGTGGGGCAAACATAGACGAAAATCACACGGACAATGCCTCGAAGGCAAAAATCACACTAACACTGCCTGTAAAGACTTTATTATTTACTTAGTGTTTTTTTTTTTTTTGCAATTGGATTTTTGGAGAGGGTCTTATATGTTGTCTCGAGCAAGCCTTGGAGTGCAGTCTCTTCCCACATAGCTCGGGTCAAAGGTTATTAAGTGGCCAGCGCACCTCACTTCTTTAGGAGACGGGAGAGGAGACGTGTCACTAACTTTTTGTGCGATGTCAGCTTTTTAAACACCTAGGATTACACCTATTTTGTTTTGTTGTTGGCTGTACTGGGCTTTGAACTGAAGCAAGGGCCCTTACGCTTGCTTAGTCAGGCTCTCTACCACTGATGTGTGTCTTAAACTCTAACTGTTCTTTTTAAACACACACACACACATCTGCATTCACCTTTTCCTCTTATTTTTAAAAATTAAGTTTAATAACCACAGAAAATAGTTAAAATATAAATACCTGTAAGACAAACAGCCGTGATTCTTACTTTTTTTTTTAGTTCAAAATACCTGTGTAGTAAACTCTTAAAATCTTTCAAATGCCTTTTTAAAATCTTTATACACACTTTTTACATCTACCCATTTCAGAAATTATTCCATCTGAGATGGGCAGAGGAAATAGGATTGACATAGTGTGCTTGGAAAGCTGATGAGACTTTAATTTTATTGGGCCATTTCTTCTTCTCCTTGCGAGGCTTTTGGGGCTTACATTAGCTTTATGAAGTTCCTTAATTTTGATTCCAGGTTCTTTGAATTGTCTGGTGGGAAGGATGCCAATGGGAACTTCTCTCTCCTTTGCCCTTTGCTTTCCAGATATCAACGAATGTCTTCTAGAACCTGGAAAATGTGCACCAGGAACCTGTCAAAACTTGGATGGTTCTTACAGGTGTATCTGCCCCCCTGGGTACAGTCTGCAGAATGACAAGTGCGAAGGTAGGTGTTGTTGTTTGGAGATTTAGGATTTCTAAAATCAAAGTTCTTACAGTGATGGTCTCCCTTTTGGAATGGCTTATTTAACAACAACAACAGCAAAAAAATCCAAGGTCTGAGGACATGATTTATGGTCGCATCATTCTAGCCAAAGAACAGCTCACTCTTACGCTAATCCTTGCTGGGGTTATTTATCTCTGTCATGTATCTGGTCCTGTGGTTGTGACTCCTTTCTAGTATGCATTTGTACAGCTTGCCAAAGTGCTGTGTCCCTCTGTGGGCATGCGTGACTTGGATGTTTTTAAGTGGTGAGAGTTTATACCTAAAAACAGCCTCGGTAGCTAGTTAGAATCTTTATTTGTTGGGGGGGGGGAGGGATGTCAGTTTGGGGTTTGAACTCAGGGCCTTACTACTGCTCAGTCCTAAATTCAGATGAGGAATTATATTGTCTATCCAATGTATATCACACTCAAGTGGTGTGATCTTTACATAGAAACTTTTATTAATCAAAATTAAATGTAAAGCAGTTTATTAAGTGTTATTTTATTAAGATGGTGCCTCTAGGCTAATTTCTACTTTAAGGATGAGAATCAAAGTAGCAGTGTATATCAACCAAAAAGAAGTATTTGTGGATTTTTTTTTAAACAAAAGTTAATTTTCCTTTTAAGGAAAGGTTACATGCGGGGGTGGAGGGAGTGTGGGAATGGAGTAATTCAAACTCATTCATTAACCACTGGGAACATGACCCCACTTATAATCTAATAACCTGGAACAATGAAGATGTGAGTGTGAATTGTGCAAGGGGCTAATTACTTTGCCTTTCACATATCTGGAATATCTATTATGTGATATTTATAATATTTAATATGTAGTCAAGGTAGTAGGGTTCAAGTTCTCCTGAACTGGAGCTTTGGGGAATAGAATTATGCAATGCAACATCACTTTGGTGTGGGCAGAACTCTTTGCACAAACAGAAAAGAATGAGAGTCCCATGATCCAAGAGATATTTAGTAGTTGTTTTCAAATATTTGCACCCAAATGCTATGGCTCAGAAGTAAGACTTAACCCCTTTCTTCACCACAAACTCCTGCCAAAGTCAGCAAGGAGTGGGTGAATCTTGGACTAGAGAACCTATCCTTTCCCCAAGAGTAGAGAGATCAGGAAATGTACTGACCCAAGGAAGACAATGTGGAAGCAAAAAAGGTCAGTGTTAATACGTGAAGGCAAGTCAGCAGGCATCAGCTGGGCTTCTTCCAGGCAAGCCAGGACACTTGGTGACCCAAGCGATTCAGAATTCACTGCAAGCCACCGGTTGTAGGAGCCAAGATGTATTGACACCATCCAGGGTAGCAGGTTCCTGTCAGCTACGAGAGGCAGGCAGGCTGAGGTTACAGGATGGACTAGAAAGGTAACTGTGTGCCTTCAGAAGGATTAACCTGCAAATCCGATATAAAAGTCTCATCTTGTGCAATGCCTTTCGTTTGAACTAGTTGTGCTTATTTTCATGAATATTAGTGTCCTTATAAAATGTCCTTAGGGCTAGAGCATGGAGTAGGGGGAAAAGCTCCAGGAGAGTATAGGGAAATAAATTTGGTTCAAAGTCTAGATCATACAACTGAGGTCCATTTTAGAATGTCTGTTTAATATGCGGTGGTGAATAGGGTCTCTGGAGAGGGGTTGTGTGGAATCATTCTGACTTCCAAATTGGCCAGGCAGTTCAATTCCATCTGGGCGAGACAGATTTGTCACTGTATGTCTTGCATGGTGTAGAATCCATGTTTTCATCAAGAACTGTCAAAATTAGTATTTCAAAAGTCATAACCAGCCGGGCTCTGGTGGCTCACACCTGTAATCCTAGCTACTCAGGAGGCTGAGATCTGAGGATCTCGGTTCAAAGCCAGCCCAGGCAGGAGAGACCGTGAGACTCCTATCTCCAATAAACCACCAGAAAACCGGAAGTGGCGCTGTAGCTCAAGTGGTAGAGCACTCGCCTTGAGCTGAAGAGCTGAAGGACAGCGCCCAGGCCCAGAGTTCAAGCCCCACAACCGACCCAAAAAAAAAAAAAGTCATAACCAGCCAGAAGCCCAGCTGACAGCCTTACAGGACAGGAAAGTGTCTTCATTCTCACGAGAGTTATGAAGCACACTTAATGCATTGAACTGTCGTATTTTGCATCTGATCCTTGCTGGTGTTTCCCCTGTATCCCGACTTTGTTTGACACCTGCCATTCTTTTAGATATCGATGAATGCGTGGAAGAACCAGAAATCTGCGCCTTGGGCACATGCAGTAACACTGAAGGCAGCTTCAAATGTCTGTGTCCAGAAGGGTTCTCCTTGTCCTCAACGGGAAGACGTTGCCAAGGTAAATGCCGGTGAAGACCCTAGACTTTCATGACTCCATGTTTATTGGTTGTGGTTGTATACTTTGCACATGGCCAACCTCTGATTCTTTGTGAACAGGAAGATGAGAAGGTTTTGGGGTAGTTTTTTTTTCTTCTTTCATTTATCCAGAGGTCTAATGATTACCATATGTCAGAACGTTCATTTGTATTTTGGAGGTTAAAAGCTCATCCATCAAGTTACCATTGCTTATACAACATTTTTGGCATTTAAATCTCTCAGCACAAACGCTGATTGGTCAGAGATCACTTTGAGCCACTAAAACACCAAAGTCTTTGGGGGGAGAGCTCAGCTGCAGATTTCCTGCCTCCAAAGCAATAATCTAGATACATATGGGTACAAACCTAGACCTCCAGAAAGCAAAAATGCAGACTTAGTCACCTACCCCAGTGGAAGGTGCCCATCTGTTACCTGACAAGTTCTCTTAGGAAACAAGAAAGATAAAGCAGCCAGGATTCTTGGTGCTGCTGTCCACTTTAAGAATAATACTTGTGGCTGGGAATGTGGCTTAGTGGTAGAGTGCTTGCCTAGCATGCACAAAGCCCTGGGTTTGATTCCTCAGCACCACATAAACAGAAAAAGCCAGAAGTGGCGCTGTGGCTCAAGTGGTAAAGTGCTAGCCTTGAGCACAGAGAAGCTCAGGGACAGTGCCCAGGCCCTGAGTTCAAGACCCAGGACTGGCCAAAAAAAAAAAAAAAAAAAGAATAATACTTGTCAGAACTGTTCTAGTCAGAATTTTCAAGGGTTTCCCAGACTGACTTATAAATAAAAGAACAATTTGAAAAACACTGAATCTAAACATAATACAGCATGTTATTAAGCCCCAGAAAATTGCTTAGACCTTTCTAAACAATGCAATTGTTATGTGTCTGTCTACATATACAAATTAATTTAATGAGTTACATGTGGGAGATACATGCACATTTCTTTTTTCCTGCTAGTGTTTGTTGTTGTGTTGCTGTTGTTTAGAGTTGGTGTATGTGTTTGTGTGTGTGTGTGTTTGCTTCCTTATTACCAAATAATTGGTACTGGATATCAAAGAGTATTTTAGGTTTGGGGACCCAGTCCTGTTGTTGTTTTTTTTTCTAGAAGTCATCTACTGTTTTGAGAGCTTGGTTTGCTCATTGTAAGTCATAATAATAGCTACCTGACCAAATTTTATTTTATTTTTTTGACAGCACTAGGGTTTGAACTGAGGGCTTTGGTGCTTTCTAGAAGGTACTCTTATCACTGAGTCCTTTCTCCAACTTTCTTTTATGCTAGTTATTTTTTGAGATAGATCCTTCTTGTCTGGGCCATTCCTGGACTTGAATCTACCTATTTTATACTTCTCCTTGTTGCTGGGATGAACAGGCACATAACACCATCCCAACTTCTGTTTGAGGTGGAATCTTGAGTACTTTTCTGCCTGGGTTGGCTGGAACTACACTTGTTCTCCTCTTAGCCTCCTGGTAGCTAGGATTACAGGCATATGCCACTAGTGCCCAACCAGTGTGATAGAATTTTATATGTGGCAAAGCTTTGTTAGTTTTAGAATTCACTGAACACATTATTTCTAGTTAACTTTTTGCTTTTCACCTAGCCATTTCGGAAGTATGAAGGAGAGAACTGAGAATTCCTATCGTTGGTTTGATCCACTTGGATTTGGGGGTAGTGAAGGGGTAGAGCTTGGTTCAAAGAGATATCCTTATGTGTACGGTGCAGACCAACCCAGATAATTTCTGCCTCCTACTCTCTTGTTTGTGTTGTGCTTTTGGCCGGGCCTGAGCTTGGAGAGAAAGCAGTGAGAAACCAGGTGTGAATCTGCCGATGTGGCAGGCCAGAGGAAACTCCAAGGCTATTAATTCAATTTGCACTGGCCTGTCACAGAGCAGAGCTAACATCGCAGGAAGAACCAGCCCAGCTGCGAGCAGCCCTGCCACATGCTCAGCTCCAAGAAGCAGAGCCAGAACTGAGGAATGCAAGCAGGGAAAGTGGCTTTCGTACTTCCAAAGAAATTTCAGAGGTCAGGAAGGGCTCCGTGCAGATGGTCCAGTAAACACTCGGCCCCGCAAGCCCTCGTTGGAGTACACGTCGGGGCGCAGTGCTGTCCCAGTGCTGGGCACTTTTGAGTGATAAACCGATTCTGGAGAAGAACCACAAGCACAAGTAAATCTCCTACCAAGCACAGATTTTACTGTAGGTTGGAAATCAAAACTTAGATTTTAATGACAAATTAGGAGTTAGACTTCTATACTCACCAAGTCAGAAAATTCTACAGAAACACGGGTTATGCTTGAAGCAGCAAATGTGATGGTACTTGGTAGACAGAAGCCAGTCCTGGAGAACACAGGTGCAAAGGAGCCGCTCTGACTTGGGAAGTTGAGTCAAGGGAATTTGTCAATTAGAGTGACTTGAAAGTTCATGTTGTCAAGGTGGAGAGAAGAGTTGGGGTGTGGAGCAAAGTCAGCAATTAAAAGGCAAGAGAAAGAACTTTGACGCATTAGTAGCAGAACATGAATAGATCTGGGTTTAAAAAAACGGGTATGCTAGGTATGGTAATGCATGCTTGTAATCCCAGCTGCTCCAGAGTTTGAGGTAGGAGGATTGCTAAGGCCTGATCAGGCAAACTTGAGAGACCCTACGTGGAAAAACAAACAAACAAACAAACAAAAACTAATGCCAAAAGGATTGGGAATGTAGAACACATGGTAGAGTGCGCACCTAGAAAGCACAAATTCTTGAATTCAATCCCTGCTACCTGGGGACCAGGGATGTATGAAAGGGGAAACCACTGTGAAGTAGAAAAAGGAGTTAAATCTTTAGTGTAATTGTTCAGACTAAGTTTTCTGAGTAGCCGCTGAATGACGGCTTAAGATGGCTATATAACACTGATGATATAACACACTATATTTGAAAAAGAACTTGAAAAGAAAAACTAGCCAAAAGCTATCCTCCAGAAAATGAAAATTGGCAAAATCTTGAAGTTTTGTTTTTTGCCGGCCACAGACACTGCTCCGTGAGCCTCTGTGCTCAAGGCCAGCGCTCTACCACTTGAGCCACCACTGGCTTTTTCTTAGTTTACTGGAGACGAGAGTCTCATGGACTGTTTTGCCCGGGCTGGCTTTGAACCAAGATCTTCAGATCTCAGCCTCCTGAGTAGCTAGGATGATAGGCATGAGCCACGGGTGCCCAGCTCTGAAGTTCTTTTTTGAAAAGCAAATATTTGGGTGTGGTCCAAATGGTGGAGCGCCTGCCTAGCAAGCTCAAGGCATGTTAGCAATGGCAGACGTGCTACAAGACAAGGACTGTCTTTGATGGTTGTTGACCTTCAGAAGGGTCATCCATTGAAGGTGCCTGCCAGGAATGAGCCACACACATGAGGAAGCAAAGCAGAGACTGTAGAGATGATTTGCTTAGAAGAGTTGGGTGCCATGAAGAGTAGAACAAGTTTATTGGGGAAGCCAGTTGACTGTGACTTACAGCACTTGGTAAGTAGGGGGGAGGGTGGGTGGGCAGGAAGGTTAAGTTGGTAAGTAGATAGGCAGATGATATAGAAAGATAGATGATAGAGAGATGACAGGTAATATTTCTAATTTGCACTCATGAAGACTTTTCTTCTGCAATGCCAGATCTGGCACCTCGTATTTTTACATGATCTCCTTAGTTATGAAATTAAACCTGGTGAAATTACTTGAACAGAAATATACAGGTGGCTTCCTAGATTGAAAGCCGGTGATGGGAGAGAATGAGGAAGACAGCAATCAGAACCAAAGAAACAGACTATGTGCAAAATAGACATGAAACCATTTCCTTAAAACTTGCAGATTTTGGCCTGTAATGAGAGAGAAATTGTGCAAGGCTTTTTGGAAGTCAAGTTTGAAGAAAAACACATTCCAGACCCCTGCATGAGCTCACTTCTTAGAGCACCCAATTTGTTCTAGAAGACATGGAAAAGTTAGTTTCCAAAATCATGTCAAGTTGTGTGGGACAGTTTTATGACAAAGAGACCCCATCTTCTTGGAGTCACCAAGCAATCATTAATACTAAAGAAGTACATATATTCTCTGAAAGATTGCTCAACTCTCACCCAACCACCCACACCCCTGCCTCCTTCTTCCTTCCCTTCCCAGGCAGAAACCTCGGAAAACTTAACTATGATGTGGCTGTGCGTGCATGCATACTGTGTGTGTGTGTGAGTGTGTGTGTATGTGTGTAATATTTTCAGAAAGCCTCCCTTGCATTTTGGGCCCAACAACTCCGTGTGTTGGATTTTCACCAGGCCACAAAGTTGTCTGCCCTATTACCTGTGTTTTTTGTTCTTTGTTGTTGTTTTGAGGGGAGGGGCAGTTCCAAGGCTCAGACCCCACAGTAACTATTAGCACTCCAAGGGTTCCCTTATCCGCGTGGGCTTGCTAACAGTTGTACAAAACCCAAGTAAACAGTCACCAGTGACAGAATCTCACCAGTGATTCCATCGGTGACTGTTCCAGTCTTGAAGTCACTGGTGAGAAACAACTCTCAGGATTGGATTTTATTATTCACATCCAGTGGTTCTGAACTTAATGAGAAATAGCATTAAAGCCATGTAAATGCCTTCCTGGGATCTGACTCATCCGTTTAACGCCCTTAGACTACTGTAGTCACTGAACGGGTGTTGCTGTGGTAAGGAAAAGAACACACGTGACCCCGCAGGTTGTTTCCCAGGGTGGTTAGACAACAGGGATTCGGCAGGAAAGTAATGGGAGGTGTCATGACTCTATGTTGCAGATCTGCGAATGAGCTACTGTTACGCTAAGTTCGAAGGAGGAAAGTGCTCATCCCCCAAATCCAGGAATCACTCCAAGCAGGAGTGCTGCTGCGCCTTGAAGGGAGAAGGCTGGGGAGACCCCTGTGAGCTGTGCCCCACCGAGCCCGACGGTACGTGCAATGCCGCGCTCTCCTTGTGTCCTTCCATGGCTGTTCTGACAGTCTGGGCCTTCCACTTCATTGTGAATCTAATCAGAATGCTCCTTAACCGTGGCTTCACCTCAGGCCCTACGTAGTGGGCTTGTTCCTAGTTATGAAATAGCTAGCTGCCCAAGGAGCAGATACCACCTCTGGGAGACTTGATGACCCCCCTGTACCCCCACAGATTCTGGGCTTGTCCCGTCCATTATTCCTCCCCCTAGCCAGCATGTGGTGGGTCACTAGGCTGCCACAGAGAGCTGAGGTGGAGACTCTGCCTAACTGCCCCCCCCGGAGGACGACCTACTAACGCGCACCTGTGTCCACTGCAGAGGCCTTCCGCCAGATCTGCCCCTACGGGAGCGGGATCATCGTGGGACCGGACGACTCGGCCGTGGGTGAGTAGCCTGCGCTGGTTCCCAACTTGTCTCAGTGTTCTTGGCCTCTTCTTTGTTTTTCTCCACTGGTTCTCCTTTCTGTAGCTCTACCTAGAAGCATCAAGCTCCCTTTCATTTCATCCCGATGCTCACTTCATTTAGATGTGGACAGCAGCTATTTACTGAGCGCTTACATGACCACCCTTTATGGTTGCGTTAGGAAAATTACCTGGTTTACTCACAGTTTGATCTTTCCTTAATTAAGATATGGATGAATGCAAAGAACCAGACGTCTGTAAACACGGCCAGTGTATCAACACAGATGGCTCCTATCGCTGCGAGTGCCCCTTCGGTTATATTCTAGAAGGAAACGAATGTGTGGGTGAGTAATGAGGCCATTTCTTCCACAAGGGTTTTATAAATGAAGACTACACGGCATTTTCGCTAGAAAGTATAGCTACCAAGACAAGACTTTGAATGTTGCCCATCCACGTATGTATCCTCCATCCAGAATAGTAGCGGAATCCCCTCCCGCTGCCAGGCATGGTGCTGCTGCAGTTAGCCAAGCAGAAAAGGGCCTTCCTTCCACAGACCTCCGAGAGTAGGGAAGACATACTGGACAGAAAAACAGATGTGGCTGGGCATGGGTGGTCAGTATAATCGTGGCTACTCAAGAGGCTGAGATCTAGAGGATCAAGGTTTATTTAAGGCTAGGAGTGCAGGAGTTAGTCTCCTCCTCTAAAATAACCTGTAAAAAGCAGGGCTAGAAGCATGGCCCAAGTGGTTGAGCACCGACCTAGCAAGTGTGAAGCCCTGAGTCATACCTTAGTGCTTCCAGAAAAAAATGAGATGGAAAGGGATAGCACCATAATGGAAGTATTTGTGAAATGTTCAAAAATTATATATGGTGGGCTGGAGGTAAGTGCTCAAGGGGTCGAGCACTTGGCTAGAAAGCACAGGGACTCAAATTCAAACCCCAGTACTGTCCTCCGCCTCACCCCTCCAAAAAACACCGTTAGTCACAATCTTATTCTGTTAGTATATAAAGTGCAAATTTATCTGAATTTTAAACATTTTTGAAATATGAAAGGCCCTATATTCAGTATCTTAAAAAATTATGTCAGCCGGGTGCCGGTGGCTCATGCCTGTAATCCTAGCTACTCAGGAGGCTGAGATCTGAGGATCACGATTCAAAGCCAGCCTGGGCAGGAAAGTGCCTGGGCAGGAAAGTCCGTGAGACTCTTATCTCCAATAAACCACCAGAAAACTGGAAGTGGCACCGTGGCTCAAGTGGTAGAGCTCTAGCCTTGAGCTGAAGAGCAGCGCCCAGGCCCAGAGTTCAAGCCCACGACCGACACCCCCCCCCAAAAAAAATGTGTCTCTCCTAAGACAGACTTAGCTCTTTGTAAGTAATTCTGATGTAATGTGGATTGTGGCATAGATACTGAGGATCTGTCTGTACAAATTTAAAAGTGTTCTTTTCATACAAGGAATCCAAGTAAGAATACTAGTGTCGGTGGTTGCTGTGTGAGCTTATTCTTTCTGGGTCTTGGGATGTAATACCATGCAGATGAATCAACTCATTCCCAGCTTCACTTATAGCCCTAATGTTCAGTGACACTGTGATTTTAATAACGTATTACATAAATAATCTTGACCGTGCAGTATGATTTAACAGCAACCAGAAAGAGCAGATCTGTCACCATTTTCTCATGCATGTTGGGCCTCCTTGTCCGGGGTTCTCTCCATACCTTCTTCTTCGATTTTAGGACCCCAAAGTAGTATGTAACTCTTCACCATAGACCACTCCTCTCCCAAGCTTTAGACAGCTGAAATAAAAATGTTATTTCTGAAAACAAGTTCTGTCCTGAGATGTGTCAGCTTCAGCACAGTAAGTGGTCCAAGAGATGTGTTGGAAGCCTCATCTAAATATATCTCTAGCTATGTCTCCTTGGTGAGGTGTGTTCTATTTCCACAGTTCTTTAGAGAGGTCATATCCTAAACATATTTTTCCCCTAGCCTTTCTTCTGTCTAATGTAAACCATCTGGTCTTAACAGAATCAACAAAATCAATTTGAATCTTGATTTTATCCAGTGCATTAATTTTTCTTAACCTCTGGTCTCTTGTTTTGCAGTAAGTTTAGTCTTCAATTTTATGTCTGGCAAGAATCCATCATATTTAAAGCTTCTTGCAGGATGATGTAATGTAGAGCTAAACTGGAGCTATATTTCTGTCTTTAACAAGCAGAAACTTCTGGCTGTTCATAGAAGCCATGTTTTAAACTGCTAGAGCATCTCCTCTCAGGTACTAGACAACGTTCATAGCAGGCTAGAAGTTCTAGCTTGTTCTCAATGTCACTGCCTTTGAGGAAGTCAAACTCCAGCCATGAGCCCGGGCTAAGACATGCGCATTCCTTTCTTGCAAGAATAGACTGGGAACTCTATCTAGTACTCTGATAGAGCAAGCACCCGTATCTCTGCCCAAGTGTCCACTTTTTCTTAATGCGTCTTGTTTTGGATGTACAGATACTGACGAATGTTCTGTGGGCAATCCTTGTGGAAACGGGACCTGCAAGAACGTGATTGGAGGTTTCGAATGTACCTGTGAGGAGGGATTTGAGCCGGGTCCCATGATGACATGTGAAGGTAAGCTTTGCCAAGCACACAACGGTCAGTAACCTGTCCTGGTCATGGGAACGTTGGCTGATTACAGTATTTAGCATTAAAAACCACTCAGATTAAATAGAAAAAAAAAATCTGAGTTTGCTGGGTTATTCCATTATTTCTTCTCTACAATTTGAGATATATACTTTTCTGCAGAAGAAATTTTGTCTTGCTGAGGGGGAAAAAAAAAGATCGCTTGGTTATGGTGGATCCAAGTTTCTCAGGGTAGACTAAAGAACATGATGATGAGGGTAGACAGGCAAAGTATTAAAAGGAACTCTCATCAGAGTGATGGGTTTCTACCCGTGTTCAGCCAGCATCAGTAATCTTTGGGGAGCAACACAATCAAGGTGGTACCAAAGGGTTAATGCTGCTTTTCCAGAATATAATCTGCAGGTTCTAAATCTCAAAATCTGCTGGAATCACTTTTGCCCTTAATTCTAACACCATTCCCATCCAGTTTAGGGATAGAACTCAGGGGTCTGGGTGGACTAGGTTTCTCTGAAAGTATATAGAATGACACAGAACACTGTTTGTTTAGGGAAAACATTACTACCTCACAGGAGCCTCTTTGCATGGGGAGGGAAGGTGGGAGTGTTCCAGAGGGGTATAGCTTCTGTTCTGACCATGACGGTGAGTTTAGGCTGACGGAGGCAGAAAATGATCCCATTCCGTGTACTGGACAATGAGTGGGAAATATTCAACCTGAGTCTTCCAAACAAGAATTTCATAAAAGTTCTTCTAGAGTGACCTGTAATTTTTCATCTACCTTAGTAACCATTCGTCACTACACCAGGAGAGCGAACCTATACTGGAGCTGTGCTAGGAAAAAAATCAGAATATATGGTCACCGTTATACCAAAAATAACCAACTTATGTCATAATTTCCTGAAAGAAGGTTTAGTTCATACGTATTTGCAAAACGAGTTTCTCTTTTGTTGTTGACATACATAATCCTTTATTTTCTTTCTTCTGCTGCAGATATAAATGAATGTGCCCAGAATCCTCTGCTCTGTGCCTTCAGGTGTGTGAACACGTATGGGTCATATGAATGCAAATGTCCTGCTGGATATGTTCTCAGAGAAGACAGGAGGATGTGCAAAGGTGAGACACCCAGGACAAAACTCCCCCAAGGAAGGAAGACCCACCTCTCTGTATGCTAACACATGTTGCTCACAAATTGCCACAACTGACTAGAATCAGGCTTTGGAAGAGATGATCAAATGGTTAGGAACAATCTGTCAGGTTCGAAGGTGGTTAGTACACTCCGTTAAGCGGTCAACACTGAAAGCATAGATGAAAACTGGTTACTTCCATTTTATATGAAAAGGTAGGTATTTAATGCAGTTTGTTTTCTAAATTGTGCTTATGCATCCTTTACAGATGAGGATGAGTGTGAGGAGGGAAAACATGACTGTACCGAGAAACAAATGGAATGCAAGAACCTCATTGGCACCTACATGTGCATCTGTGGACCTGGGTACCAGCGGAGACCTGACGGAGAAGGCTGCGTGGGTAAGACGAGCTTGCACAAAGGGTTGAGTTGGATGTGATGGGAGAACAGGCAGCTTGGGTTGAGTTCTGGACCAGAGTCTTTCACCTTTCTAACGTCATGTCACAACTTCCAGTGGAGACCCCTTCCTCTTAATTATGTATGAAGTCCAAGAGCAATGCTATTTTCTTCCGCTGAGCTCCCCTTCCCCTTCCTTCTTGGCCCATTTTGATGCCATGACTGGAACACCATGCCTTTCCTCTGTTATTTTCCTTTTTGTACTCTTATGGATCTGGGAGTCAATTATTTCTACCACATTGGACTTTCCCCTGTTGACTCACCTTTGTTACTCAAGTACATTAAGTACAGATAACTAGGTCCATCTAAACCAGTGGGATCTATCTCCAAAACACCAGATCTCTTCTAGAGTGGGATCCAGACACTAAATTTGCTTCTCAAGTGATTATAATGTGGAGCCATTGGGAACTCCAGCTTTAAACCTGGGGTTGGCAAGTGACAGCCAACAGATCAAATCTAGCACACCAGCCTGCCACCTGTTGTGAATGGAAATATTAAAGCACGGTAACTCAGGCCTGCAATCCTAGATAAATGATGGGAGGACCAAGTCTGAGGCTGGCCAGTCGCCTCAACTGGAAGCAGCTTGGTGTGGTGGTGCCTTCCTGTCAGCCCTCTGCCTCCCCTAGGAGACCTCAGTGTCAGGGAGCTAAGCTGTTTGTGTTTGTGATTTTTATTTTTTTGCCAGTTCTCGGGCTTGAACTCGGGGCCTAGCCACTGTCCTTAAGACTCTTTTGCTCAAGGCTAGCACTCTTACCACTTGAGCCTCAGCGCCACTTCTGGCTTTTTCTGTGTATGTGGTACTGAGGAAACGAACCCAGGACTTCATGCATGCTAGGTGAGCACTTTACCACTGAGCTGCATTCTCAATCCTAGCTGTTTTTAAATGAGGAAGAACACTAGGAAACTTACCCTTCTAGACAGCCATTGGATGACTCAGAATCTCCAGCTATTTTAGTTTTTCTTTTAACCTGGGAAATTGAATTATGTTACTATTTAATTCTGTTGAGCTATTACAAATAATCTATATTGAATATGAAGTCTAGACAGATGCCCCAGGTCAACACTTACTCTAACAAGACTTCAAACTCTAACTTCTAACAAGACTTCAAACTCTTTTTCACCTTCACTAAATAGATTTTTGGGGACCTCCATATGATCTGATAACAAAAATTCAATTAACTGAGAACCAAGGGCATCAAAATGTTATCCACTATGCCTTTCAAGGAGCAGAGGTTGGCACACATGCCCGTGTGTGTGCTTACTCCCTGGAAAGGCCGCTCACCTGCCATGGGTCACGTTCCACAGAGGACTCTGGTGTGGCTGAGGAAGAGAGAAGGGAGGGGGGAGTGTGAATAGATTTACCTGTTTACAAATTAAATTGAGATAGATGGAAGAAGAAAAAGAGCAATCAAACCTTTCTACAAACGGTTAGATAACTGCTTCGGTTTTCTATCCTTCAATGCAACCTCTCAGATGAAAATGAATGTCAGACCAAGCCAGGAATCTGTGAAAATGGGCGCTGCATCAACACAAGAGGGAGCTACACCTGTGAGTGCAATGACGGGTTCACAGCCAGCCCCGCCCAGGACGAGTGCCTCGGTGAGTAGAGCAGACGCATTCTTGTTTTTGTAAAATTTACGTGCACACGTCTTAAAATAGTAATTTAAGGGTCAAAGCTGGAGAGAGTGTCTACTTTTGCTACAGATTTAGCGCACCTTTTCCTGTTTCCTCCATAATTATGCCTTGGTTTGTTTCCTTACGCAAAGTAATTGCTACACACATAAAATATTAATGTAAAAACTCCCCAGCTCATTTGACATACAAGTGCACGTGACTCCAAAAGCTACAATTTGGGGCAAACAAATGTGCTGAAACCCAGATCTTGGATTTGAAATAAATGTCAAAATGTGAGGAAGGAAAAAAAAAATGCCTATAGAGATGACTTAGTAATTTACTCTCCCTTGGGTTTAGTACCACCCTGCAGCTCAATTCTTCCTCTGCTGATCAAAATCACTTGCCCAGAATTTCTTGGCTGCCTGTTGGTGATCAGGATCTGTTCCCTTATGCTGCTCTGCGCCCCCCACCCCAGCGTGACTGTTAGGATGATTTCCCATGTGTGTGGGTACACAGTCAGAAGCTTTTCTAAGCCGATGCCTCTCTGCCAGCTTACTGACTCTCTTGTCTTGTTTCCCTCAGACGGCACCCTTTCTCTCTTACTGCTGCTTCCAGCTTTCCCTTCTCGCTCCTTCTCATCCAGGGTAAAGTGTTACAATCTTTTGGGTTTTTTTGATCTGGCCAAATTCAGTCATGCTCCTAACATTTCCTAAAACCCTCTTTTTCATTCAATGTCCCCTCTCTAGACAATCGAGAAGGGTACTGCTTCACGGAAGTGCTGCAAAATATGTGTCAGATCGGCTCAAGCAACAGAAACCCTGTCACCAAGTCTGAATGCTGCTGCGATGGAGGGAGGGGCTGGGGCCCGCACTGTGAGATCTGCCCTTTCCAGGGCACTGTGGCTTTCAAGAAACTCTGCCCCCATGGCCGAGGATTCATGACCAATGGAGCAGGTACTCTGTTTGTTGTCACTTATGACCAGTGTGAGTTTTGCTATAAAAACAAAACTCTACAGAGTGAGCTTACATAGAGCTGTATAGCTGGGATTGGAAAAAAAATCCATTATTCTGTTGTTAGACCTTCAAGGCCACATGTCAACGTGTCCTTGGGCCTGTGGCTGTATGGGCCTGGTCCCTGCCTCTTCCCTGCTCCTTCAGGCTTTTGAAACAAAAGTTTGCTGTAAGTCCATTATTGGTTTACAGCAAGATTCTTTAGCTACATCTTGAAACAACTATTAGATTCATTGGATTCTAGTTTACCTGTAGGTATTTTAACTTAGAACATTAGCTAAAGCATACTACATTGAAGACCTATAATAATGCTGGTATCCTTCAGTATAACACAATTCCATCTGAAAAAGCATAAGCATCTTTACCAAGAAAGTTAAAGGATGAGAAGGCTGGCTGGGTGATGAAGACCTCCAGGCCTAGTGTGATTTCCCTGCTTACCAATGGTAATCCAAGTTAGGTTTTAGTTCATAAAAGGACTGAGAAAAGAAATGAGGAGGGTTTTTGTGACTGTTTTCTTTTTAGGTTCCTTAGGAGAGAATTATTTGAAATAAGGAGGTTAAAAAGATATGCTTGAAGGCAGGATAACAGACTAGGGTATGGAAGGAGGGGGGCAGCAGTGGACCGATAAAATGGAGTGGCCAGAAGCAATTTCTGCTGCTTTGGAGGATGTAAAAATGAGATGGTGGAAGACTCATTTCCTGAGAACAGTGAGAATGTGCTAAATTGCACTTCAGGATAAACTTGAAAGGGTCAGGCAGACCCGGATGTTGATATAAAATGGTCATTTGGCAAAGCAAGGGCTGATATGGCATGTGTAAGCTACTCGTATTGGCCCCCTCCCAAGCAAGGAGATCCCTGGGTCAGAGGGGTGGAAGACAGTAGTTTTCATGCTAAACAGTACACTGGCCAAGTACTACTCTCTGTGGTGGGGCCAAGAATAAGGGTCTGTCTCTCTTACTAGGTGGCAAAATCCAGTCTCTATCCACCCAAAGCCCTGGTTCATTTCCTTTTTCATCAAAGAAAAGAAGATGTTCCATTTCCGCAATATTATGTAATTTGGTATTTTCCAGGATTAACTTCAAACACAGAGAGCTTTCCTTATTTTGAAGATGCAATATTAGATAAGGGTCCCCTGCTGTGACTTGATTATGCGAACTCAGCAGGAGGCGAGCTTCATAGCCTGAGCAGAGCAAAAGGCCACATGTGTCTCCATGGGGGGGTGTTCTCTATTGGCCCTAGAAGAGAAAAATACAAAGTTTAGAAGACCAGTCTTTCTTCAATTTTCCTGTAGCCTGATTAGTTTGTGACTACCATACTGGTAAAGGTATTGCCATGCGGCCTTTCAGTTTCGTTACTACCACAGCATACAAAATGTATGTTGTCATGCCTTTGGTTTAGCGTTAGATCCGTAGTATACTAACACACACTGTCAGAATTGGTTAATGTTGTCTATTTTATAATACCTTAATTTATATCAACTTGTCTAGATATTGATGAATGCAAGGTTATTCATGATGTTTGCCGCAATGGGGAATGTGTCAACGATAGAGGATCCTATCACTGCATTTGTAAAACTGGGTACACGCCGGATATTACTGGAACAGCTTGTGTGGGTAAGTACCCTCTTTCCCATGGTTTTTCCCTTAAGTAGAAAGATCAGCTGTGGGGGCAGGGGGATCCTTCAAGCTAATCATCTAAAATACATACACAATTTCATAGAAAACATAAAACAATGATGGACTACTGAAGTTTTTTGTTAAACTCTCACAGTGGACTTTGGGCATTGAAACATCCTTTTAGATGGAAATCACTGTCTCTTCAATCATAGATCTGAACGAGTGCAACCAGGCTCCCAAACCCTGTAATTTTATCTGCAAAAACACAGAAGGGAGCTACCAGTGTTCCTGTCCAAAAGGCTACATTCTGCAAGAAGATGGAAGGAGCTGCAAAGGTAGGCCAAGTAGAATTTGTCTTTGCCCATTCACCTGTCAGTCCTTGTACCTGTGAGGAATCCACAGATGAGCTTGGAGATCCATTAATGCACAAAAGAGGTTCTTCCCTGAGGTGAGAGCCGATGTAGGAAGTGGGTCAAAGAGGGAGCTGACACCAGGAGGCTGCAGAGGACCAGGGGCGGCAGTGATCCAGTGTGCATGCTGCCCCAGCCAAGGCTGATTGGATGTAACAAATGTGTAGTCGCATGAAGACATGGACCACACAGTTGTGATGTAGACTCTAGCCTCAGGATAATTAGTTCCACAATCCGAGAAGACACGGTGCCTAACTAAAGACTGGGTCTATGAAGTAAGACTATTCCTGCCTTCTAAGAGACATAAACATCACCCAGAATTTACATGGAAACAGCAAAACTTTGAATAGAAGTCCTTCCTTAACTATAAATTATACCCTCTGCAAAATTCTTTCAGTGTACACTTATTCCTCAACATCTTGCTTGATAGTAAGAACTTCATAAAGATCAACTGAGAAAATGAGGGATTTGGAGAAAGTGTTCTATCATGAAACTATGGATAAACCAGAAAAGTAAGGGAGGGTAAAGAGCTGAAAGAAAAGACCTGGGGAACAGTAACAAGGAGATTCTGACCCCTTTCCTGTGTCTTCTGGAAGCTGGGGAGGGCTGACAGTAATGTAAAGGAGACAACCGTTGAAGGCTTCTAAATAATCTTTAAGGAAAGGAAGCTGAGAGATCTACTAAAAAAATTCTAACCATCTGAAGTGCATTCTTACTCCACAATGTTCAGGAAGCTCCATACCATGCTCTTAGGAAGTATCAGGAGTACAGAAAGCAATTATGCGATTGCTTAACACATCTATTTATAATGCAAATCCTTGTCTTTTACACAACATTCTTGGCATATATGACTAAATATGGAAATAAGTGGTGCAGTTATGTGTATACTGAAATGGAAAAAAGCCCTAGAGAAATGTGGGGTCCATATAAGGAGAAAAACAATCAAAGCAAGATATTTGAATGTGTAGAAATGCCACAGTGAAACCTACTGATTTGTCCAATTACTAAGTTATATAATAAAAAAGATAAAAGAAGACATTCTGAGAGGTGAGAAGAGCAAGTGTTGCTGTCTATAATGTACCATGTTTATGATATCATCAAATACCCTCACCTGTCTCAGGTGACCTTCTATAAAGATATGAAGATGCTATAGCAAAGCTTCTAGGGTCCTGGAGAGGGGAAGTTAGTCACGGACTCAGGGTAGAACATCAGTCAGCTTGTCAGCAGGGAACAATAGAGGACAGGCTCCATCTTCAGGGAAGCGAGCACTGAGACGGCCATAGGAGGTTTTCTCAGATGTCCTGTGCATAAGGGTACTACTGTGAAGCACATTACATCACCAGTAAATCTTAACACCGATCTGCAGGTATGTACTCTTCTGTGTGATATGTGCATGGTAACTGAATTTATGGTAAAACACTCCCTCAATACACTATTTTAAAATTACTGTTAAAATTCATGCCAAGTGCATGGTGCATGCCTGTAACTTGGCTACATGGGAGGCATGAAGGATTGCAATCTGAGGTCATCTGCTACAAAAAGTGACTCGGTGTATGAAAAATACGGCAGGAAAAAAAAAGGGGGGGCTGGGTGCTGGTGGCTCACGCCTATAATCCTAGTTACTCAGGAATCTGAGATCTGAGGATCATGGTTCAAAGCCAGCCTGGGCAGGAAAATCCATGAGACTCTTATCTCCAATAAACCACTAGAAAACTGGAAGTGGCGCTGTAGCTCAAGTGGTAGAGTGCTAGCCTTGAGCTGAAGAACGCAGGGACAGCGCCCAGGTCCACAGTACAAGCCCTACGACCGGCAAAAAAAAAAGGGGGGGGCGGTATTTGGCTTAAGTGGTAGAATGAGTGCAAATCCCAGTATTATCCAAAAGGAAAAATCAGCTAAAAGCTACAATATACTTTTTATGTCTTTTTTCTTCTTTCCTGGGTGAGTGGGGAGCTTGTCTGTCCTGGAGCTACCATTCTGGGCCTAAGCATGGTCCCTGAGCTTTTCTGCTTAATGCAGGTGCTCTACCACTTGAGCTACTACTGGTTTTGTTTTTGTTTTTTTTTTTGGTTGTGGGGCTTGACCTCCGGGCCTGGGTACTGTCCCTGAGCTCTTCAGCTCAAGGCAAGTGCTCTAGCCACAGAGCCACTTCTGATTTTCTGGTGGTTAATTGGAGGTAAGAGTCTCACTGGAACTTTCCTGCCCAAGCTGGCTTTGAACCACAATCCTCAGGTCTTAGCCTCCTGAGTAGCTAGAATTACACGCATGAGTCACCAGCACTCAGCTGTCTTGGTATTTTTAATTAACACTGGAGTTAAAAATAGGCCCAGAAATTGATGGCAGTATAAGGACAGGGACCTGATTACAGTAGAAGATTTTGTAGCGATGAGAAATTGTATTTGATAAATACTAAATGTGGCTTTGAGTGTTCTTAGTTTTTAGACTTTTCCTTCAGTTTTTCACTTCAGTTGATAATGGGTTTAAAAATTTTTTAAATTTCTCAACAACCGGTTTTCAAACTACTTTTCTCAAACTTAAGGGAACTGGGCTATCCTTAGGTCCCAAAAAGAACCACTTAGTTTTCTTTGTGTTCTAAATTGAAACTTTTGTTCACAGAGTGGTACTTACCCATTCGCGGGCTCTGTTCTGGCCAGGGTTGCTGGAGACGTGGCCCAGCTGGCTAAGGGCCGCTTCTCTGGACCTGTGTCGTCCGCTCAGCGCAACGCCATTTTTTCTTGCAGATCTTGATGAGTGTGCAACCAAGCAGCACAACTGCCAGTTCCTGTGTGTGAACACCATTGGTGGTTTCACGTGCAAATGTCCTCCTGGGTTCACCCAGCACCACACCGCCTGCATTGGTAAGCAGAAGAAAACACTGGACTGACTTGGTCTTTTCTGAAGAAACCTTTGGAGCATTTAAGTCCTTTCTCCCATTGCTTCTCATAGATAACAATGAATGTACCTCTGATATCAACCTGTGTGGGTCAAAAGGCGTCTGTCAGAACACACCTGGAAGCTTCACCTGTGAATGCCAACGGGGATTCTCGCTGGATCAGAGTGGTGCGAGCTGTGAAGGTGGGTAGAAGCCCCAGCTGTGGCTCCTGTGGAAGTGGCCTGCGTGAGGATCAGCACCTTCACCACCATCTTGCGGGGGGGGGGGGGCACTCAACTGAAGTTGGGAAGGGAAGGGTTTGCTTGGGAACCCATACCTTGAGTCCCATGCTTTGTGTCTGCAATACTTGCCTTGCCTAGATGAATACTTTAACCTGAGAGGGAATAACTCAGTCATCAAGAACAATGCTACTGGCTGGGCACTGGTGGCTCACACCTGTAATCCTAGTTGCTCAGGAGACTGAGATCTAAGGATTGTGGTTCGAAGCCAGCCTGGGCAGGAAAGTCTGTGAGACTCTTGTCTCCAATTATTCACAGAAAAAGCTGGACGTGGCTCTGTGGTTCAAGTGGTAGAGGCTAGCCTTGAGCAAAAGGAGCCCAGGGACAGCGCCTGGGGTGATGGGATGGCAATGGAAAATAATAATAATAATAAAAACAATGGCTAGATTTCTGGTCACTGGGTGGAGAGCCATTAGATTCCCCAGCTGGCCTGGTTAACTTTTACACTTCTATAGTAATCTACACATTTCTTAACTAGAATTGCCTTTTATCTTGACATGGAAATAAATGTGGCTTTAAGGCGGCTCTGCTTCTTTCAGATGTGGATGAGTGTGAGGGCAACCACCGCTGCCAACACGGCTGCCAGAACATCATCGGAGGCTACCGGTGCAGCTGTCCCCAGGGCTACCTGCAGCACTACCAGTGGAACCAGTGTGTGGGCAAGTAGCATCTCCCCCTCCGCTGCATGCACTGCTCTCTTCCCATCACCCAAGCCCTGCTTACTTTCAAAAACATTACACTGGTAACCAAAACAACACACAGTAATTTAAGATTGTCCAAACCTGATTCAAACCAAAGGAAAGAAAGTGTCAAAAACTGGCACACTAAGAAAAAAAATGACAATACAGGATGCTTCGTCTTGTCTGGAATGAAGCACCCTTAGAATTCCTTGCTCCTGCTTTCATCCGCTCCCTACTGCGTGGCTAGTCTTCAGCCCGCTCCTGAGTTCTCTTCATACTGGGGGTGAACCAAATCCTACTTCTGACTGAAAAATAGCATGCAGCCAGAAGCTGTTTTGCAGAAGCATATGTTCGGCCTGAAGATACAGAAGTAGTTCTGCTCAGCTCTACACAGCTCTGGGGCAGAGAGTGAGCAGCAGAATCAGAGAATTTTCTCAGGGATTTGCTAAATTCTTTTGACAATTAAGGGAGCTCAAGTGACTCTCATTAAATTAAAAATGATACCATCTTTGATTTCACAATGTCATGGGAAAACAACTCCATGCACATTAGAGAATCAAAACATTGAGTTTAGAGGGACAGCAAAGGCCATCTAGCTCAAACCCAGAAGCCCAGGGAAGGGGAAGTAATAAAGTTCTTGGTTCTTCTGAGACATCCCTAGAACTAGACTCTAAGACCTCTAACTTACTTTAAGACATCTTTTGCCAGGTGCCAGTGGCTCACGCCTATAATCCTAGCTACTCAGGAGGCTGAGATCTGAGCATCGCAGTTCAAAGCCAGCCCGGGCAGGAAAGTCTGGGAGACTCTTATCGCCAATAAACCACTAGAAAACTAGAAGTGGCAGAGTTTTTGCCTTGCGCTAGAGAGCACAAGGACAGCGCCCAAGCCCAGAGTTCAAGTCCCATGACAAAAAAAAAAGACCACCTTTTTTTTCAAGTGTCATTAAAAACTTTTCCTGCTCACAGCAAGCATCTACAGAGCACCAGTGCAGGCTGAGTGCTTGGTCACATGACCTTTTCTAGCTGCCACATACTGGGGTGCAGATCCCTTCTTAGCAAAAAACTACCAAAATTACTACTTCCTAAGTGGGTGCTTTTAACGGCAAGGTTTCTCTTATTCCAAAAGAACACATTTCATGTTTTCATTTATTAAAACTGGCTCATCTTGACTTGATCCATGACAGTTTTGCAGAGGTATGTAGGGTTGGCTGGAATTACCCTAGTTCTAGAAGAGTAGACCATACATCTCTCAGTGTTGTCTGGTTTTAATAAAACACTTATGGTCATTATCAACTCTGGGGAGATAGTTGTCTCATTTTAGGCACTAGTTTCTGCTACAGCGGACTTTGTTACTTCAATACCCAGAAATGTTTTTAGTGTTATGAGAGAAAAAGAGGAAAGGTGCATCAGTCCTACGCCTTGTCCTCTTACCTCCAGTCCAGAAATGTTGATTAAGTCTGAAGAGATGCAGCCGCATTCACAGGGCGAGGCTTGCCTTGCAAGCAGGAGAGGTTCTGCCTTCAATTCTCCAGCACCACTTTGGGGAGAAAAAAAAAAGTTAGTTTAGGGTTCTTACTGCCTCAGAACACCACACTGGCTTCATAAAGTCCCAATGAAAATGATGTAGGGCTAGAATGTAGCTTCTCTGAACTGTGAAAACAGAGCAGATCTCTTGGACCAGCTCTGCCTGGATCCTTATTCCCAGTTGGCTAGAAGCTCACTCTTCCTCATGGCTAGGTTTGGGGTATGGTGTCACTTCATTCCTATTTAGAAACAGATGGGAAACTTGCAGCTTGCAATTAGTCAGTCCATTTTGTCCAAGACAAAACTGGTGAAAGGAGGATGACCTTTGGGATTTTCCTATTGTTAATCCCTTAAATGATACAATCCTGTCAGTGGGGCCTTTAGTTCTAGAGACCCAGGTTTTTCAGAGCTGGGAATGCTCCTTCTATAAAAGAATAGTATTAGCCAGGTGCTGGTGGCTCATGCCTGAATCCTAGCTGCTCAGGAGGCTGCTAGACCAGGCAGGAAGGTCCACGAGACGCCAGTTAGCCTCCAATTAGCCACCAGAAAATGGGAAGCGGCGCTGTGACTCAAGGTGGTGGAACACTAGCCTTGAGCAAAAGAGCTCAGGGACAGCTCACTGCCACGAGTTTAATGCCCATGACAGACCAAAAAAATAAAAAGGTATTTTACCAACTGGAATGCCAAGTAGAAGAATAAAACTATTTTAGAATATAGAAAAATAATTTCTTGTAGAGTCATCTACTTTAGAGTATACAGGATGAAACAGGTCAGGGAAAGTATAAAGCATGTTCACTAAGTTGTAGTGTTGATGAGTTAGTAAAAAAATTAGTTAATAAAAAAGCTAAGTGCACATGCTTTTCTTTTGAGAGTATGTAACCTGACCTATTTATCTTCTAACATAAAAATCCCTCTCTTGCCTCACTGAACCCATCGAAAGCACTTGTTTTTCCTCAGTCCAGTCTAGGTATAGATAGCTTTAAAACTAAGACACCTAATGAATGAACCAACTTCTTTTTTTTTGTTTTTGCTGGTCATGGGGCCTGAACTCTGGGCCTGGGCGCTGTCCCTCACCTCTTCAGTTCAAGGCTAGTGTTCTACCACTTAAGCCACAGCACCACTTCTGGCTTTTTCTGCTTATGTGGTGCTGAGGAATTGAACCAGGGCCTCATGCATGCAAGGCAAGCACTCTACTATTGAGCCACCTTCCCAGCTCTTGAACCAACTTCTAATCAGGGATCCTATTTCGCAAAGAGCAGGATGAATCTAAGCTATCCACTGACTGTTCCTCTCATCTGCTTATTTCTTTGTAGGCTTTATTTATTAGTCAGGGCTTTATTTATTAGTCAGGGCTCCAGCAGGAAATAGATGTCCGAACACACTCCAAATAGAGGACACAGAAGCAAAGCTACTTACTCTCTCCACACAGATCAGTTTTCAAGGGAACAAGTAGAGGGGGAAAAACGGGGACATGGTAGAACATGATGTTAGTCCAGGAGCTTTCTCCCTCCCCAAGAAACACCCTCAGTGTTTCAGATTGCCTCTTGGATGTGGAGCTTGGGTCAGTATTGGTTTCTTTCTATCCCTAGTTTAAAATAAGGAGAAAAGGACAAAGACAATGGCACATTTCATTATTTCTCTTTCAGGAGTTTCATACATAGCCTAAGAATCCTTGGGTGGGGACTTTGGAGCTTCTGGCTCTAAATAAGCAAAGGAAAGCTCACAGACAAGCCAAAACAGGGCAAAATAGGACTACTACTAAATAAATACAAACAAGCACCCTGGCCCTGCACTTTCACTCACCTATTTTCTAACTGCAGGAGAAAAAAAAAAGTGGATTTTCATTTGTGAGACAGGGAATAGGGAACCTGGCCCGGACTGCAGGCAGGTGATACACGTGTTCTGCCTGTCTGCCTGTCATAGAGTGGGCATCTCATGTTCGTGTCACTGCCTTGTGCGTTGCAAGTAGGCCCATCTACCTGTGTTCAAGTGAACAGAAAAACCAAAATGGGTCTTAGCAGCAAACTTCCAACTTTCCCTACTAAGACAGGTCTACAAAAATAGATTTCAAAAAAAGAGAAGCTGGAAATAATGAGAAATTCATGGTTTTCTGCCTTTAAGCTGATTTTTTTTAAAGTTACATTTCTTTTTCTTACACCAGACTTGGCAAGTCCCTGTGGGCAGGCAGTCCCACAGCATCCGTCTCTCTTGTGGGTTCCCCCCAATTATTTCTGGGGAAGTCTGCACGGAATCTCTTCCAGCCACACTTAGCTTTAGGTACAGTTCAGCCACTCTGGGCAGGCGGCTAGTTTGGATAAGGGTTCTGAGTTGGGAGGAGACCTGCCAGAAGGCACTATTCATCTATGAACAAGTACCTGGGGGCTTCTGCAGAGTTCTGAAAAGGAAGTCCAAATGGATCAGATACTTCCTGTAGGATATCAGGCCTCCCCAGATGTGCATATCCTGCAAATAGAGCTGAACGAGCAGCCTCTGGGGAAATGGTTGGTCTCTGCTGTTAAGGTATTTGTTCCATTGCTGAGTACTTCTGGGACAGAGAACTGTGTGATTCCTTCTCGACTTCCCTGAACCTTAGCTATGAACAAACCCCTCATTCTTTACAGGGTCTTCACATGGAGCACAACATACTAGTGTTAGTTTCCATGAGTTTCCTTACAATGCCCTCTTCCAGTACTTTCTGCTCAGTTATCTGACCTCATCCTCCATATTTAGTGACAACAGAGAACAAGCCGTGTGTGCTTCCACATATTTACCTCTCTATTTTGGTCAGTGCTGCCTGCCTTTGCATCCTAAGAGGAATCTCTGATCAGTGTCACATATACAGTATCTTCTGGCTTTTCTGCAGATGAAAACGAATGTCTCAGTGCTCACATTTGTGGAGGAGCCTCCTGTCACAATACTTTGGGAAGCTACAAGTGCATGTGTCCTGCTGGCTTCCAGTATGAACAGTTCAGTGGGGGGTGCCAAGACATCAATGAATGTGGCTCTTCACAAGCCCCCTGCAGTTACGGATGCTCCAACACAGAGGGCGGCTACCTATGTGGATGTCCACCTGGTTACTTCCGAATAGGCCAAGGGTAAGCACTACTCTTCCTAGTCTTGGCTAGCAATTCCCTCTCATTCATAATGTGTATTTAACTCAAAATGACCTTCCTAGCTGGTAGTTTATGCCTGTAATCCTAGCTTCTCAGGAGGCTGAGATCAGGGGAATCAGATTGAGGCCATTCATTCAAGCAAAAAGTTCAGCCAATAAAAAGCTGGGCACACACAGTGGTGTGTCATCCCAGCTATGCTGGTAACATGAACAGGAAAATCACAGTACAGGCTGGCTCACACAAAAAGACTATTAAAAAAACAACCAAAGCACAAAGGGCTACAGGTTTGACATGATTCAAATGGTAGGATACCTGCTCAAAATGCATAAAGCCTTGATTTCAACCCCAGTAACAGACACACACAGAACCTTACTCTAGAAGAGAACCATACTCATACTTAATCTTTGGTTAATTCTTATCACCTTTGTAGGCATTTTAAGTTATGTTATTTATAATGGGACATCCGGACTTTTGGAAATTCAGAAACAACCTTTTGGTTGAGGGGCCTTTTAGGGCCTTCTATTTTATACTTCAAATCATCAAAAGAATTCTTTTTTATAAATTGGAGCAAATTGTATATTTATGTAACAATTGGGGCAGGAAAAACATTTTACTCAAGTATTCTAACAGTATAGTGGTAAGCTTTCAAAGCTGAGATCTCTTCTCTGCTGAGTTAATCTGGACTTGGGTATCCATGACTTTTAGCTTTATACCCAGGAACACCCACTAAAGATATATATTCACACACACACCCCAAATTATTAATTTAGTGGTCCTTGGTTACTTGACACACAAGCTTCAAATGATTTATTTTGGGTCTCTGTAAACTAGAAGGTAAAAGAATGTTTCATGGGAAGCATACAAAAATGCCAGCAGTATTGGACACAAATTCCCAGATGTCTGGGTCTGGCTCTCAGGCAACTCATTCTTTATATTTTAGTGCCAGAATCATTTTTCCCAGCAAAAAAATTGTGACACTCCAAACTGGCTCTTGACCAGTGGGATTCTGTAGTCACATTTCTTATAAGTGGGACTCCCGGGAGATGAAAATTCTGGAACCATGTTCTGAGAAAAGAGCCAAAGCCTTGAAAACTTGTGGCTTACCTTCCCATAACGTAACCATTATGTGGATATGTGTACACATACAGTGTGGGCATGTAACATTTCATCCATTTCATTCGTCCTACACATTTCACATTGCAACACGGGGAAAAAGAAGTGTGTCAGACTGGCAAGACTCAGGAAAGTAGTAGAAACCTTTAAATAGCAGTAAAGTATGACCAATATTATAGTATGATCGCTGGAATTAGATTCTGAATCCTAAGGGCATACAGGAAAATGAATTATAAAGAGGAGACAAGTACTATAAAAAAAAAAAGGTAGTATCTAGTCTACATTATGCCACACTAGTAGAAGTCTACTCATTTATAATAATAGCTTTGGTCTCACTATCTCAAGCACTAGACTTAGACTCTACCCCAAAATAAAGACTTTTATTAGGGACTACTCAAATGTTTCAACACATTTGGAAAGAAGAGCCCGATAAATCCACATTCCAAGTGACCTCTGAATAACAAAACAAGGTACTTGTGAAACATGGAAGACACACGCCATAATTTGGCTTTATAACTGAAAGACAAACAAAAACAGCCTAACTAGAATCATCTCTCCTGGGCATGGGTTTGTTTATCCACCTTCTCATGAGTCAAAGCCAGTGGTTTTGAGTGACTGAAACAGTTTCCCACAGTTGGGACAAGCGCTGACACATGCATCCAGTGGATGTACAGCAAGGTCAGAACCGCGCTAACCTGGGGGAGGGGCTTCACCACAACCCCTGCCCCACTAGCCCTGCCTCTTGGTTCTTGTGAAAAACACTGGCGCTTCCTTTTTGCCACAGGCATTGTGTTTCTGGAATGGGCATGGGCAGAGGCGGCCCGGAGCCAGCAGCCAGCAGCGAGATGGACGACAATTCACTGTCCCCAGAAGCTTGCTACGAGTGTAAGATCAATGGCTACCCCAAAAGGGGCAGGAAACGGAGGAGCACGAATGAAACTGATGTCTCCAGTATCCAGGTAGGTCGGAGGGTTTCTCCTCTAGTCTCCTAAAGGAAAGACCTTCCGGATTCCTGTGGTTTCCTCTAAGGGTGTTCCAAAGTGTGAAAAATCTCCCCAGGGAGAAAATCCAGACATTCCCGAGCTGTAGGCTGCATTTACAAGAGGCTGTGGGGCTTTCGGCAGAGTGTCTGTCTAGCTGCTTTTTTGGGAGTGGTCACTTAAAGGTTTTCACATACTTGCTCATTTCCTTGTCTCACCAAAAAGAAAAGTCAAACACCAGCCCGAAGTCTGCCGAAAGGAATTCTGAGATTCAGGTCAGCAGTGGGCAGAATAGTGAAGCCACACACTGCTCCCTAAACAGGGAGGCCACATTCTGAAAGCTAGAGGCTGCTCTTCTGAAAAGAAGCATGCGCAGCGCAAGGGAGCTTGGACAGTAGACAAAACCAACAAGGAGCCCAGGCAGCCTGGGTTTCTTTGCCGAAGGCTGCTGCAGCCTCTTAAATTCGGAAACGCACAGATACTCACTCAGACCTCTGGCTCCATGCCCAGAGAGTTGAGCACATGTGGTCCCAGAGAGGCAAGCAAGAAGCCAGGTGAAAAGCATTGAATATTAGCAGATCATCAGAGTCAGGAAGTAAGTTCATAGGTGTGTCCTTAGGAGGGGATGATTTGCATCACTGAATGAAATTGAAATAGACTGCTTTTTAGTATCCATGCTGCCTCCTTTGGTTTGGGAAATAAGTCCTCGGAAATAAAATAATTTATTAAAACAACAGCTCTCAAACCTGACTGTGTATCTGAAATTGTCAGAAAGACTTATTGAACTGGATTACTGGGAGATGCCCTGGGAATTCTAATGCTCTAGGTCTGACTGGAGCCTGGAATTTGCATATCTAGCAGATTTGAATCACTTTTTCTTTCACATGAGAACAACATGACGTATTTTATGTCTTTCTAGGATCAATCTGAAATGGAAGCCAATGTGAGTCTGGCAAGTTGGGACATTGAGAAGCCTGCCACCTTTGCCTTCAATATTTCCCATATCAGCAACAAGGTCCGAATCCTAGAACTCCTTCCGGCCCTTACAACTCTGACAAATCATAACAGATACTTGATTGAATCTGGAAATGAAGATGGCTTTTTTAAAATCAACCAAAAGGAAGGGATCAGCTACCTCCACTTCACAAAGAGGAAGCCAGTGGCTGGAACCTACTCATTACAAATCAGTAGTACTCCACTTTATAAAAAGAAAGAACTCAATCAGCTAGAAGACAAATATGACAAAGACTACCTCAGTGGTGAACTGGGCGATAATCTGAAGATGAAAATTCAGATTTTGCTTCATTAATTCACCATCCAGAGACCAAATAATTAAAAGAAAAACAACTATAGATAGGTAGGATTACATTTCCCCCCAGTCAGAATCTTCCTATCATAGGTACAATCTTTCTCACCAAGTAAATTTGTATAAATAAGCACTATTCTTGTATTACAAAAAAAAAAAAAGAAGGTACAGGTGATTACCTAATTCAAACAACCACTTCCTCAGGCTTCTCATGCGTGTAGCTAAGTTATGTGGTCATATGTGCCTATTCTGGAAAACTAGGAGTAGACCCCCTAGGGGCTCACATCTGTGCTAATGTGCAGATGTGCAGGAATGTGCTTTTCACCTGATGGATTATTTCAAATTTTGAAACTTTGCTTCTCCAAATGCAAGTGTAGGTTGGCCATTTGTAATATCTTGGTGCTAGTAAATTTTCAAACTAGATCTATGAATGCACTGTAATATCTACACAACTTAGAAAACAAATTACAAGTACTCAGTTCAGATACTTCATTTCAATCAACCAAAGTTAGTTCAGTAGCTTATCTCAGTTATGAGTATCATACATTACATGTAAATTAAGTGTGTGTATACTGTAATCGTGCTGGTTTTTTATCATTGAAACATTTATAAACTAGAATAATAATGCCCTTAATGTGAGGGTTTGTAATGGTGCTTATTAAGACCAAAGACTTGTTAATTGTCTACACCAAGTGGTAATGGAATTTCTGTGACTGGCCCACATGTGCCTTGAGGTTGGGGAAGACCAGAAAACGACCCCAGCGACCAGACTATCACCAGTGCGTCCAGTGTCCTACATAAGACATGTGCAATATGCCAAAATTATGGTTATTCCTGTCAACAAGGGGTCAATGTCATAAATGTTACAATAAAGCAATCTCTTCTTTTTTTTTTTTTTTAAGTGTATCCCTTTGGCTTTGTATTCTTGCATGGGTTTGGGGTTGGAAGGGCCATTCTGGAGGCTAGTCTCCTGGATTTAAATTACCCTGGGTCTGTTATTTATGCTTTATACAGGAGCCAAATGTATAACCACTACAAGAAAATGTAAGATATTTAGTCTTTTGTTTTAGTAATTTTAGATTGCAGAGTGCTGTCATCATTGATTTACTAGTGAGAAATTTGGATTGTGGTATTATTTCTGAAACGTGACCTAATGACTCCTGTGACTTTTAAACTCCTAGATTTAAGTGCTTTCAAATATGAAGTTTAGTCATCATGTTAAAGCACTTGGATTTTATTATAAAAGATTTACACCCCTTTTTTCCCCTTAAATGCTCACATTGATGGCAAGGCTTAAGTGTTATATCTTTTCCCCAAACATCTGTTTTTGATTAATGCTAGCCTAATTAAAAAAGGCCAATGTTAAACTGGAACCAATTTAATACTAAAACTCTTGATTTTTAAGTGTCCTAATTTGAAAATGTTTTACCTATTAAGTACAATATTGAATATTCAGATGAAAAACTCATTCCGTTGATAAAAGAGAATTTTGAAAGTCCCTTATGGTAGGAAATGAAGCATTTTGTGGTTGTGAAAAGTGAATTAAGCAGGAGGGGCAAGACAACGGAGTGAAAACAATCTACCTTATTTGTTCCATGAATGAAAAGAATCCACAAACTAAAGAACCCAGCAGCACATTCGGGAGGGTAAAGAGGGAAGACAGACAGACAAACCTACAGGGAGTTCTCACATACTCAAGAAGCAATCAAGATGGAAGAAATAGTGGCAAGGATCCTAAAAAGCCACTTGGGAGTCAGAACCACCTGTGGTAAAGGAACCTGAGTCAGAAGATACCATGGGACTATCATGCCTAGAGGATCCCCAGACTCAGAGTAGAGATAGACAACAAATATTGTGAGAACTTTACCACCTGCTGAAGTCCTCAGGAGCAGAGAGACTGACTGGCACAGGCACTGGGCTGCCCAGGAAGTGGAAAACTGCCATCATAAGAGGCTTCCCTGGGGGAGCAGGGACCAGAGGGCCAACATCAGGATACTCTGCCATACAACTCGGGTATATAGTGTTACAAGAGGCTGAAGAAGGGTGGGCGAGTCAACAAAAGCCTAAGTGGACGGGGGAACCTGCAGCTAACAAGCTCAGATGTTAAGTCTGAAGCCTACCACCCTGACAGTGGAGATGCCTAGGACACAGCTTATAGGTCTCACCTTGGAAAGTATTGAAGGAACCCAGAGGCCTGGGGAGAAGGATGTGCAGCATCTGTACAGCATCCCAGAGAAGACTGGGCAGAGCCCATGAATCTCGCTTAACAAAAACTTGAGCAGCTGCAGGAAGCTGTAACCAAGAGGCTCAGGATGCAAAACTCCAAGGACCAAGGACTACCAGCTTGGGAACCTGCTGTCAGCATCGCTGCAGGAGGTGCTGTGGGGCTTAGAAATCCAGCATTAGGGGATGTGTTCACACAGGAAACTTAAAAGAACTCGGGCACAGTAAGCCATTAGATAACATGCAGCTAAGTGGCCTTGGGCCTCCCTCTGGGCCAAACAACAGGGCTGGAACCAGTAGCCAATACTCTGAGGCCCTCCCTCCAAGTAAGGTCCTCTGGAGGAGGTAAAAGCCTACTGCAACCTGCAGAGACGTTTACACATAAATATACATATAGGTTAATGTAAGAACTAGCTCTTAACTGTGACCCCCTCTGTACACTATTTTTACAATAAAAAACATATTAAAAAAAAAAAGAACTAGGTCTTCCCAAGTGCTGTATGTCAGCTTGCCTTTAACCCTGTTTTGGTTATCTGAATTTCTCTCAGCTGTAAACCAGAAAAAGGCCATTTACCTTTCAATTCCATCATTCTAGAGTAGACCCATTTACCCTCCAGTTAATCTGAGAATTTTTCTAATAACCCTTCCCCCCTTTGAAACTGAAACCACACTGGAAACTCAGTACCTGTCGTTTAATCCTCTAATCTTATCATTGCTCCCTTCTCATATCCCCTCCCACCTGCACCCTCCCTACATCGATAATGAAACCCTTCCTTAGATTTTCTTCCATACCCCCATAATCTTCCTCAATATCTAATACACTACCCTGAACAATATCTCCCTTTGATGTTTTGGTTTTCATTTTCTGCATTCTGCTTCTGTTTGTCTCACTATTCAGTTTGTCTTTCTTCTAAATTTGGCCTTGCTTTTTCTCTTTTCATTCCTTCCTCCTCCTTGACCATTAGTGGGGCCTGACTCATACTCACATACTCGTGTGTATGTGTGTGTGTGTGTGTGTGTGTGTGTGTGCACAGATGCGCGCATGCACGCATGCGTAAACATACATGTACCTATTTATTTCTCCCAACCTCACCACCACAGTACCCCAGCCCAGATAGTCTTAAATACTTTTTTCCTCTTTCTGACCCACCTCATTCCACTTTCCCAATAACCTCTCCTACAAAACTTAACTCCCATCCTTCCTCTCTCCATATAACAAATACCTAGAATTATTCCAACAGGACTGCCCTTTTTGATCTCCATGTTATTCCCACTCTGGTCTGCCTAGAACACAATGATATATTCTGGACCATAAATTCATCTAAAATGATTGAAACAGAAACAGTGATTACTCCCCTTTAGAACTTAGCACAAGCTTGTGGTTTAGCATCGACAATAATCCCTGAAACCCAGCTTCCTCACCCTGAGAAGAAAAATCCCCAGACACTTGAGAATGGACTTTTTTTTGTCAACTGAGACTTACCCCCAAAACACAGCACCACCCAGCCATCACCCCATCTTAAACCAGTTTTCAAGAAAACTACCAACTGAGAATTCAAGACAGAAGCTTCACAAACCCTTAACCTAGATGCGTAAGTCCCAGAAAAACGCCACAAAATTCATAAATAACATGTCACCCTTGAAATCAGTAACAACACAACTATGAACTTAAGTGAGATCTAAGAGGAAAGCCAGACAAAAAGCTAAGCCAATGATAAGAACTGTCAACAAATTGAAGATGTTCAAAAAATTAGACTTCCAAGAGAAGTTGAAGAAACAAGGAAATACAAACAACTAAATGAACTAAAGAAGGCAACATGGATATCAGACAGGAATTCAATAAGAGATGGAAACCAAGAAAAAGAATCCTGAAAATGAAGAATTCAATAACCTAAATAAAAAACGGGATCGAAAACCTAGGCAAGAGAAGTTGCAAAGAGTATCAGAGGTTGAATATAAAGCATAAGAACTAGATCAAACAAGTCAAAGATACTGACCAAACACTCTGGACTCTGGACAAACACCAAGGACTCTAGAGAGAGAGAGCAAAGGAAGGAGTGACATTGTCCAAAAAGAAATTGCTCATTACCTAATATATACCTATAACCCCCCCTCTGTAAATCACCTTTTCAATAACAATAAAATAACAAAGATCACATCTATATATGAAATAGATGAAGAGGAAGAAAAACTAAAGGTACTGAGCAAATAATAGCAGAAAACTTTCCCAATCTGGAGAAAAATAAGTTTCATCTAGCAGAGGCTTACGAAACTCTTAACAGACAAGACCATTGAAGAAACACACCTAGACATATTACAGTGAAAAATCACTGAATACAAACCTGGTGCTGATGTCTCAAGCCTGTAATCTTAGCTACTCAGAAGGTTGAGATCTGAGGATTGTGGTTCAAAGTCAGCCCTGGAAGTAAAGTCCATGAGACGTTTTATCTCCAATTTATTACCAAGAAGCCACAAGTGGAGCTATGGCTCAAATGGTAGAAGTTGTAACCTTGAGCTAATAAAGCTCAGGGACAGTGCTTAGGCCCAGAGTTCAATCTGCAGGCCTAGCACACTTGCATACATGCACGTATGCATGCACATACTAAATATACAGTATAAAGAAGTAATATCAGCCAGGTGTTGGTGGCTCCTAACTGTAATCCTAGCTGCTCAGAGGGCTGAGATGTGAGGATCGAAGTTCAAAGCCAGCCTGACAGGAAAGTCTGTGAGACTCTTAACTCCATTAGAAAACCAGAAGTGGTTCTTTGGCTCAGTGGTAGAGTACTAGGCCTTGAGCAAAAAAGCTCGGGCTCTGAGTTCAAGCCCCACAACTGATTTTTTTTTTTTTAAATGACAGCAAAAGAAAGGAGACAACAGAATAAGCAAATACAAGGAGAGTGTGGAAAGACAACTCAAATCTGGAAGGACAACTGCCATCCTAGCCTACTTTTTTAGAGTTTACAGAGCAATAAAAACCTCCCGGGGCTGGGAAGGTGGCTCAGTGGTAGAGCGCTTGCCTTGCATGCCTGAGGCCCTGGGTTCGATTCCTCAGCATCACATAAGCAAAAAGAAAAAAGCTGGAAGTGGCACTGTGGCTCAAGTGGTAGAGCGCTAGCCTTGAGCTGAAGAGCTGAGGGACAGCGCCCAGGCCCAGAGTTCAGCCCCATGACCGGACCCAAAAAAAAAAAAAAAACTCCCATGATAAAGGGTAAATAAAGGAACTCGTGACCACTAAATGAGCACTACAGAAGATACTTAGGGAATCCTACCTTCCATAAGATGATCAAAACCAGAAAATGTAAGAATGAGTAAACTGTACTACTAGAGGAAATTGGAAAGCAGGAAGAGGAAAGAAGCAAGCATCACGAAAAGAACAAAATGATGGAAAGTATTTCTCAATAGTAATATTAAATGTCAATAGGATCAACTCTCCAATCAAAAAAACATAGAACAACAGTGAATCAAAAAACACAGTTGTTGCCTCCAAGAAACACATCTCAGTGACAAAAAATAAACACAAATGCAGAATGAGGGGATAGAAAAAGACTTTCCAAAATTCAATATCCGTTTATAACACAGGCTCTGAAGAAAGTAGGAATAGAAGGAATGTACCTAACCTTCATAAAGGCTTTATAGGACAAACCTATAGCCAGTATCATATTAAATGGG